GCATTTCTTCAAAGGGGCTGTTTCTACTCGTGTTAATTTTGCTGTTGTAGTAAATACAGGTCAAAATGCAGTGTGGAAAGTGTATTTTGTTTGTTTGAAAAATACTAACTCAATGATTGTACATCTTTGACCATAGGTACAGCTGTTTCTATGGTCAGGGCAGCAAGTTGGAGCAAAGTGAAGCAGAGGGGGCCTAGGGTCACGGGCTTGGGGGCTGCAGGGAGCACAGGGAAAGAAGACCCCTCTGACTTCCTTCCCTGTGGAACTTGCTTTCAACCGCCTTTCCCCACGTCTTTTCATTAAGTCCTAACAAAAGTTACCGCAACACATTGGCTCCGCACGTGGAGAATATACTGGAGAAGGGTATTGCGATGCATTAGGTTTCACTCTGCAGACAGCCATCCGCAGTCTAGGCAATCTGACCGGGGCAAGTCAGAGTAGCTGCCACTGACCAGGGCTCTACCGTGGGCGACCGTTCTGCCCTCTGCGCTTTGCGTGCATAACTCTCACAATAACCCTCTGAGGTGCGTATTATTACCTCCCTTTTATAAATGTAGACACTGAGGCCCAAGGAGGGATAGTGATTTGCCTAAAGCCTCACTGCTACTGAGTGGCAGAAGCAGGATCCAGATCTTGACCTGCTTAATCCCTGAAGGCCACACTCCTTTCATTAGACGTGGTAGGTTGCGGCACTCGTGTTAACTGCAGTATAAAACATAGGAAAAATACAAGAAAGTAAGGCAGTGGGGTTGGGCTAGATCAGTGGCTCTCAACTCTTAACTGCACATTAGACTCTCCTGGGAAGCTTTGAAAAGAACTCGAGCTCAGCCCTGCTGCCAGGGGTTCAAACTCGGGTCCTGGTAGCTTTAAAACTCCCCAGGCATTTCTAAGGGGGCAAGTGGGTTGAGAACTCCTGGTCTAGACCAGTGCTTCTCAAACTTGACTGCACCCAAATCTTCTGGGGTTGTGTTAAAATGCAAATTCTGATTTAGCAGGTCTGGGATGTGGCCTGAGATGCTATGTGTCTGACAAGCTGCCCAGTGATGCTGGTGCTGCTGGCCGATGGACCACACTGAGTAGTGAGGGTCTGATGACCTGTAGGTTACTGTTCCCTTCTAACGTGCTGTGACAGTGGAGAAAGCAGTTCTAAAGCACAGGTTCTGTTCTGTATCCACCGGGCATCCTGCATCTCCATTTGTTACAAATAAGCAGTATTTCTGTTAGTGGTCAACAAACATGGAAGTCAAACACCAAAAATGATGCATCGTGTATGTAACATGGTGAAGGGACACAGACTCTGCGATGTGTTCATATCCCAGTTTGGTTGCTTACCAGTTGTGTGAGTTTAGGCAAGTTACTTAATGTCTCTGAACTTCAATTTTCTCTTCTCCAAATTGAGGCTAATAAACCCACATCTCAGTGGGTTATAGGGAGGATTAAATGGGTTAATACCAACACGGCACTTTGCACCACTAGGTACCCCCAAATGGCACCTGCTGTTATCTCGGTGGATTTTGCAAGCTGATCTTCTCTTGTACTACAATCCCTGCAGTTCAAAGAACACTTGACCTGTGCCCTCTGCAAGCATCAGCCTTTGCTTTGAATGTCAGGTGACACTATGACATAAGAAGTTTCAGGGCACAGAGTGTCCAGGCCAGCATTTCTGTCCATGTCTAGAGAATGACTTGGGCAGAGAATACCATTGTTTCTTCCCTTCTCTGGATTATAAGATTTTCTCCCTGCCTAACTGCAGCAAATTCCCCAGTGACTTTTGGTATAAAAATAAAATAGTAACTCTTAAGTTGTTAGTGTCGATGCTGTTATCAGACCAACCGATGGTAGTAATTTATTCTCAGATATTGAGTGCCCAAGTCCCAGGGATACAGGGACAAACAAGAACTTCATAATCTCTATTGTCCTGAAGTTTGCCCAGGGGAAGCAGACATCAAATAAATAAAATAGACACTTGCAATAGTGGAGAGCACTGTGAAGGGGAAGATCATGGCACTCCGAAAGAAAATATTAAGAGCTTTGACACCACCCATTTTCATTTACAAAGAGCCTGCTGTGTGCGTCTGTGTAGAATGCATTGGAGCAGGGCGAGGGGAAGGACAAGCGGTTAGGAGTTCTCCCAGAGGTCCAGGCCCAGGGGAGGCAGAGGAGCTGGGGAGTGGGTGGAGTCAGGACTGGGAGCAAATTTCCTTCATTTGCCTTAATTACCATAAAATGTCAGCTTGTGGTTTTAACAGTTTTGTAATTTTTTCCTTTTACTCATTACAGAATATACCATGTTGTCATCAGAAAAAATTTTAACTAGCTGTGTGGTTTTCGACCAGTGACTTTTTTTTTTGTAGGTCTTATTGATTCATAAATTCATTCATTTATTCATACTTCATTCTGTAAAACAGTGGTAGGGTAGCAGGTGTCTAACATTTTCCCCTGACCTGTCATTTAGGAACTTCAAGACAAATTAAAGGTATTCACAAATAAAAACCTTTAAGCTTAAAATTAGTAGCAGAAGCAGAAGGTTTAACAACAGAGAAAGCTAGATTTCCTATTCTTTAAGAACTCTTCACTCCCTTTCTTCCAGGCCAGCACGAGCTAAGGGAAATTAGAATCTTACTTTAAGTTCAGGCCACATGAGTCAGGACTCAAGGCCACAGGCCTCTCAAGCCAGAACTAACTACACAGCCCCATCCCCAGCTCTGAGGGCCAGCTGGAGAGCTGACTCACCTGCTGACACCTGCTGACACATGGCAGGTCCCAGTTATGCCAGCACCACCCTATGCAGGGAAGGATTTACTCACCTTAACTTTCTGTGTTATTTTAGATTTTGTATCTTTACATTTTAACTTATTTTTTCCATTACCATTTATGCCCCTTATACTCTTGTCCACCTCCTCCCTCCCCACCAAGTACCTTAACTTTTTTTAGTAGTAGCTTGATTGTCTGACAGGTATTAGTACTATAGTAAAATAAAATTATTAGAAAACAAACCTTCACATGTTGTTAGTTAGAAAACTTGGGACCAGAGTGGTCAACTGATAAACCTAAGGTCAGACTGCTGGCTACTTGGCAAGTCCCAAAAGCATGAAGATAGGTAGGTACAAGGAAGTTTCCTTGGGTGGCTGGGAGGAAGCTGCATGGTTCTGCTGCTTAAGACCGAGACACTCAGCCATTAGTTTGAATCTACTGGTAGAGTTTTAGGCTCTACTTGGTAGAATTCCAAGATGGTTGACGCCTCAGTGACCTCCCTTCGGGTTTCCCATAATTTGCAGCAGGCAGTTCACTGTGAGGACTCCACCCTCTCACTCTGTTAAATTGTAAAGATTCAATTTATGGGGAAACCAAGACCAGCTCCTCTTCACACAGAGGCTGGGCATCACTGACCTCAAAGTTGGTTGGTTTAAAAATCATTTAAAAAAATATAGAACAATGCCAATACTAACATAACATACACCCAGAATCAATGACTATTTTCTCCCACAGTATTTTGAGAATTTTGTTTTTGCTGGAATGGCTGGGGCATCGTAAGGCACAGACTGAATTTACCATCTTGCTTGGTCAGCCAGATTTTTATCGAATTAGAATGTAGAACTAGGGCAGGAAGAAAACAATTCTTTGTTTTTAAAAAAATATGGTACATAAATGGACCATGTGATGACAAATGTCTATTGCTATTTTAAATTGCATGTGAAATTGGAACTATATAAAGAGACATTTAATTTACATAATCTTTTTTGCTGTTTTCACTTCCTCCTACAACAGGTACTGACCTGGGGGGATTTTTGTTTGTTTTCTGGCAGAAAATGCTTAGTTTCAAAAAAGGTAAAAGTTAAGTTTACAGATTTCCAGTGACAGAGACTTAAAGGAACTACATAACGCTGGGGAGTAAGAGGTCAGAGCCTTGCTGCCCAAAACTTTATTTGCATTTGCTAAGTTAGAACCGTGTCTGAATGTGGAGTCGGGAAGTCTGAACTGTAGAATCAGTGTCGCCACCAGTGCACGCATGGCTGCTGGCCCCTGCCCTCACCTCTTGGGGCTAAAGAGCTAACATTTTATGCTTTGGAACAACTGATTCCCCTTTTGATTACAGGCTTACCCTTTGGTACCTTGTTGACCAATGGATCCTGGTTTCCTCCATCACATATGACAAGAATGGTTAGGTACGAACGTGAAGTGATTATGACAAACGTGGCTGGTTTATGCACCAAAAACAGTGCCTAGGGGCCCTGTCTGCACTGGACAGAGACATCTGGACCAGCTCTGCTCCCCCACCCCAGTTTCACCTCCACGGATCTTCCCAGATTCTGGCTTGAAATGTGACTGACTGGGTGAGCTGTCATTTCATTCACCGAATGTGTTCTAAGCACCTTCTTTTTGTTCAGGCCACTGCTTTTCACTTTTATTTGAAGACTATACCAGAAGATAAGCTACCTCAGCAATTCTTTAACTGCCGGAACTCCATCCTGGCTGAAAACTCAACCCTGCATCTCACCCAAAAAACACAAACAACTCAAAAGTCATCACTCCCATCTGGTGTTACTATAATAATGCCATTGGGCCACTAAGGTGAACAGTCGTCAACCCTCACCGAGCATTCAGGGCTAACATTCTGAATTCTTCTGAGAGTTTAGGGTTGGGACTGAGGGAGTGGGTCACCCTGGCTCAAACCCAGCATTTCGGCTCTAGCCAGGCCTCTTCCTTCTGATTCCGTAATGTATCAGAAACACTCTTGTCCACTAGCACCGGCACTGGCAGACAAACGACAGCTCCAAGGAGGAGTTCCGTAACACCGACGACAGTCCATGGTTCCGAGAACTGAGCTTAGACCCCAGTGCCACCCCTGGCTTGTGCTATGACCTTGGACAAACGACTGTTTCCTCCTGTGGAAATAGTGAGAGCCGCAAGCCCAAGGTAGTGGTGAAGTGTCACTGCACCCGCACACAGTAGGTACACCCAAAATACCCATTATTCAGTTTGGAAAAGGAAGTACAACATTCATTTTTGGAAAATATTTATTAAAAAACTAAAGTGAATGTGGCAAAAAAACAGAAACAAAAACAAAATCAAGACATAACTTTAAATAGCAAGCATATGACACTGGTTATAAAGCTTTCCGAACTCCACCGACCTAGTCTTTCCCACCGTCTACAGTTGAGGAGGGCCTCCGAGGGAAGCCTCATGTAAACAGGTCATCTACACTAGTGAGCAAAAACTAATTACATGAGAACAGTCAATGGCAATATGACTTGCTTTCCTAGGCAATCCACCCCAAACATAAGGGACCAAATCTTAGGAGTACTGTAGCTCTGGGGATCTGTGGTTCTAGTTTTAATTTAGGGGTACGGGCTGTTGGGGGATGAAACTGTGGAAAGACAGTGTCAGTAGAGGGCAATCTTAAAGCACCTTTAAAATCTGGACCCTTCTTCACAATTTAACTGAGTAATTCTCAAACCTGACTGTTGAAAAGAATCACCTGATGAGATTGTTAAATTCACAGGCTTCCAAATCTGCATGTCTAAAATGAGTTACTTCAGGTGACTCTATGCACATTGGTTAGCTTTCCAGTTTGAGAAACACTTTACAATGCATTAAAACAATTCATATCCCCAAACATAAGATGAAAGCAATCTTCTGACAGTCGCTGTGCTTTTTGTCAATTTGGAGGGATGAATATGGGGCAGGAAGAAGTTCCGATTCCTAACATACCAGTCTACAGAAGCCCCAAGCAACCTGTCAAGGGTTGTTCAGGAAATAAAATTTAATAATCAAGTTACAGAACAGCCTCCAAATGACCAACAGGCCAACAGCATTCATCCCATGTCAATGAACTCTGTTGGGGCAGATGCCAGACGGGAAGCTGCTGTTCAAACAGAACACGAGGTAAGTGGGGACTCTGACCTGTGAAGTCATAGTGAATAAAACATCTGTAAAAACCTTTATTAACCATACAGCTCTACACCCAGATAATGTTGGTGCATCATGGACAACATGTCGAAATAGTCACATTGATTCCAAGGTTCCCATTATCCGCAAAAAGATGTGCTATGGCTGTGTCAAAAACCAGGCAGTCGCTGTTCATGATGGCCGCGGCCACACCGTCGTGGATGGACCGGGGTGTGGCCTCCCAGGTCAGTCTCCGCCGGTTTCCGTTCAACTCCAGTCTGTAGGCAAAGTTCTCAGCCTGCTTGCGGGTGCCGATGAGCAGGACGATGGCAAAGAACTGCTGGTGGCCCTCGTACTTCTCTTGTTTCTCCAGCACCAGCATGAAGTGATGGCCAAAACAGGACTGCATCATCACCCAGTCGACAGCCCCCGGCAGGTTTATGTCTGTAGCTAGAAAGACGATGTCTTCTCCCTGAAGGGTGGTAATGCTCTTGTGGGCGTGCATGAGATGGGACATCACGGCTTCCAGGGACCCCTGCCACTTGCAGGAAGCGCCAGGACAGGGGCAGGAGTAGGGGCGGTATTCACAGATGTCTTCGTGTTCTGGCTTCTCCGTATGGTGCAGGGTCAGGGAGCAGCCCGTGGTGGCATACTGTGAGGACAGAAAGAAATACGCTGAGCCTTCTCAAAAGTCCTACCGGTGTAGGTCTTTATGAGTATCCACCCACTCAGGTCTCCGGGGCTTAAACTATGGTCTTATCTCAACTGTTTTTGCTTGAGAGGAGTTGAATATTTCAGAGTACAAGTCTCAGTTCCCATTCACTAACCGTATTACCTTGCACAAAATCGGGGTCAGGTCCCGCACCTGGAGGAACATTCTGCATTTCATATTGCCCATTCCGACATTAAAAACTTGAGGACTGAAGTGCTCTTAACATAAATACCTCAAACAAAATTGTTGAGCCAGTCCTAGGAAAACTGGTCTTCCCTCTTACTTTTTGTGAATTTAAAAAAAAATTTTAAAGAATTTAAAATGACTTAGGGGTAGGGTTGGACAAGGAATACGTTATCTCCAGACTACTTTTCACTTAAAGACAATTTTGAAAATAGTGTGATTCCTCTCTTTTTTGGTCTCTTCCACTTTGTCCTGGCTCAGGCTGGTGACTGGCAGGCAGGCTTTGGGGAAGGCGGCCCTTTAATGCCCCCTGCTCTTGCCTGCTGAAGTGACGGGCCCGGCGCAGAAGAAGGCCGGAGACCCCTCACATGATAGTAATGTCACCTCACCTTCTCCACCTTTGGAATCTTCCCTGACAGCTCTAGGACATACTTCTTGGGTGAAAGGAGATCACGCCCCAGAGCAGCTTAATTGCCCTGGGAGGCTGCCAGTCAGTTTGATTCCAGCCAGTGCAGTTTAAAACGAGAAGGGCCTCACACTCCGCTCGAAGCCCCCCGAACTTTCCCCAGGCCACTCCCTCGAGTCCGACTGCACACCCTCTTCATGACCAAGTATGTCAGGCCCTCGAGACAGGCCCAGGAGGAAGGAACTAGAGGGGGCCCTGGAGTACATGAGTTTTCTGCTGTGGTCAACCGGCCCTTAAAATACTGCCTTAACAGGGTACGAATAAAACCTTTTTCTCCCTTGTGCTCAGGATGACATTTTTGATGGATAAATCACAGCTATAATGGGAAAAGACCACACTAAATGGAATTCAGGGGTGTCCAACCCATGGACCACATGCAGCCTAGGATGGCTGTGAATGTGGGCCCAACACAAAGTCATAAATTTACTTAAAACATTATGAGACATTTTTGTGATTATGTGTCACAATGTATTCAATGTGTGGCCCCAGACAGCTCTTTTTCCAGTGTGGTACAGAGATGCCACAAGGTCGGACACCCCCGAATTAGATGTTTGCTCCCAACCTCATAAAAATGACAATGTTCCTTCTTAGCTATCAGATGGAGAGTCGGCCCACAAGCAGACACCTGCCCCGAGTACTATGCTGTTGTCTTATCAAGGATAAGGCGCCAGAATGACCTCTTTGGGTGAACCTAGAAGTGCGCCTCAGCCCCACGGAGCAGCAGGGGCAGGGACACTGCCTGCCTTACCCCACCCGGACGCCCCCACCCCCTTGGGAGACATGGAGACACCAAATGAGGGCGGGGTCAGGCCGTTTTTCTAGTGTGCTACGTCCAACTGCTAAAAACAAAACAAAACAAATAAAATCCCACAGCTGTTTCTGCTTCTCCCTACCCTGCTCTAGGAAATCAAGCCCTTGTAAACTTTAAGTAGGTCAAATTCTCATTTTTATGACTGAATTTACCATTAGCAACAAGCAGGCACAGAGCACCTTCTCCATACAAGTTCCCAAGCTGTAGGCACTGAGGGTACAGAAGCAAAGAAACCAGTCTGCACTCCCCTAATAAGGAAGAAGAAGTGGCTTAGAGAAAGAAATGCAGCCCATTCCTCCCTGTACCTAAAGTGGATGGTGATAAACTTCAATAGACACTGGCAGAAATGTCACTGTTATTTACTTTGCCCACAGGAATTGCTTGTTCATATTTTTAACCATGGACTAATTTTAAAAGCATGGGTATAAAAAAGTTAATTGGGAGAAACAAGTTTATTTTGTGTTCCTAACAAGGATAAGGCCCTAATAAACACATGCCTATTAACTGTGTTTTAAATCCAGGGTACAGCCAGGAATAGAGAGCCTTCTGATGTTCTGATGGGCGAGGCATTTCTGCCCAGAGTGTAAAACACACCATAAAAATAGCAGGAATTAACCCAGACCCTGGCAGCTTCTCTGGCTGAAACAAGTCCTCAGTATTTGGGTCTGAAGGCATTTCAGAATGGGCTGCTTACCACGGCTGCCCAGGAATAATTCCAGGAAGGAGATGAAGTTTGGCAAAGAGCGTATAGAACAGTACCACCTGCGTGGTAACCCTGCTCTGCAGCCTGATGTACAGCAAATATCCCTCACCTAGCAATCACTTCAGAAGTTTTTCTTGTGTATCTCAAGTAGGAGTATTTATATTCTGAATTATTTGGTTTGCCTTACAAGTCACACACTCTTCCTTCAACCCAAATATAGAGAAGAGGGAAGCTCCCCAAATTACGCAAATGAAAAAGGCATTACTTAGCATTTGTGTGGAAAATGACCTTATGAGAAAAGCTCTTGCTACAGCCTCCATTAACTTGAATAAGTTTTTTTTTAAAGTGTTAGGTGCTTACTCCGCTTTTTCTAAAAAAGTTGAACTTCAATGCCGACCTATTCCTTCTCTTTTTCATCATGGGTGAGGGCATGTCTTCATGATCACTGGTGCCACACTTGTGACGACTGGATTAGAAATGATTCTAAAAGAAAAAACCTGAACTTTAAACGTGTACATTCACACACACACACACACACCCATGCACCCTGCTGTCACGCTTCATGCTTGTCACAGTCTCAGCATGACAAGGACATTCCAGAACACTACGGTCCTGTTACCTGAATTAGGGGCTCACATTCCAGGACCAGAGGGAGGCTTTTGGAGATACCCTGAGAATGTATGAAAAACTGCTGGGTGCCCCTGAGCAGGAAACCCCAACTGCACTGGCCGCCCCCGCTTCCTGCCCCCCCGCCTTGTGTTTTCTCACAAGGTCCAAGGGTTCAACAGGCTGCGAACCTCAGAGCTAGAGTTCAGGGGGATAGTGCAGACCTGGCTCTGTGACATTTCCTGGTGAGAGGGGCCATCCCCTGCAAGAGCAAACTCAAATACGGCAGAAATACAGATAACCATGAGAGGAAGACAGGGGGTGATTCAAAAAGTGGGGACAAGGGGAGGGAAAGGGGGTAGGGAAGGCTTCACTGCAGATACAGGGACAGCGGGTGGACTACTTCCATCTGGTTCCAGCACAGGATGAGTGGAGCAAACAGTGGGGATAAAACCTAAACGGGAAGGCATGGGAAAGCAGGGACTTCACCGAATCTTTAGTTTATTTTCAGTGTTTTTCTACAGTGGCATTACTGGCATTTTAGACCAATAATCCTTTGTGGTAGAAACCGTTTTGTGCATTGTGGGATGTTCAGCAGCATCCTTGGCCTCTGCATGCTAGATGCCAGTAGCGCAAGTGCCCTCTCCCTAAGGTACGCCAACCAGAAACGTCACCAGGCTTCTAGGGGCCACGTGTCTCCTGGGGGGCACTTATCACCCAGGCTTGGAGGCTTCGATTTCAATGAGGGTCAAAACCTGGCTGGGCAGCCACAGTCACAGCTGTGAGGAGAGGCCCACGCAGGCAGGCAGGTCGAGCTGGTCACGCTGCCCAGCCCCACAGGCACCGCCCAGGACAGCTCAGGGGTGCCAGCCCCACACAGAAGTCGGCCTTCGTCGTCTGCAAAGCATGGAGCAAGGTGGCTCCACCTGTGTCACGGGCTGACTCATCGGGGCTACAGGGTCATCTGTGGCCACTCAGGAGCACAGCCGCTTCCCACGCTCCCTCTCAGCTTCTCTTTCCCTACCCAGGGCAGCTTAGGGTCAAACAAAGAACGTTTTGAGAAAAAGAAACTAATTTATATTTGCTTTGCATCCCCTGCCCCTAACCCAACAAACGTAAAAACCAAGGTGGAGAAATATGCTGCTTTTAGAAGCAGGTTCTAAAATTAACGTTTTCCTTGATTTGCCAAGGAGAAAACAGCCCTGCCAAACCCCTCCCTAAGGAGTGGGGAGCACACCTCACAAATAAGCAACCAGCAATTAGGCACCCCCCCCCAAGTCTTCTCTGGCACCTCACCAGAGGTTTCAGCTTGTCCCACAGAACAGGAAGGGTTCAAAGGTCACTGCTTTCCTTCAGATGCCTCGTTCTTAGGCGCATGTTCTGGGTTTTGAGAAGAAGCGCCCGGGCTGCCTGTGGGTCCTGGTACCTGTCTCCAGCTATAAACGAGATTTCTCCACAGGGAAATATCTTCTGGTGAGGTGGGAATATGCTTAAGTACACCTCTTGGGGGGAGGGGGAACAGGTGAAACACATCACACACAGAAGCAGAAAGCTAAAGAAGAATGCTAAAGAGGGAGGGGTAGGACAGCCCAGTAGGCTGAGAAACAAAGAAATGTTGAAATAACATTTCTGACTTCTCTTTAGAAACTCTTTGCATCGCAATGGCCCAAAAGTCTTGTGCAAACGTGTTCTGCCTGGAAAGGCAGTGTGTAACCTCATGCTTCACGTTTAAGTCTTTGCTCAAAGCAGTAAATAGAGCTACCGTATTTTTTGGACTATAAGACACACTCCCCTCTCCCCCAACAAATTTGGGAGTAATAATGGTTGTTAATACTGCTGTTGAATTCTGTTTACATTTACATTGGTGAAATATGTTATTTATGTTATTAAATATTTTACCACATTTTTTGCTTCAATTTTTTTCCCTATTTTCCTCCTCAAAAACCTAGGTGCATCTTATGGTCTAAAAAATACAAGTAATTCTTTTCTTGGGCACAGGGTTTGATTTTAGCAAAGAAACCCCTTTACGTACAAATAGGACCAGCTACATCAGAAACATAGTCAAACACTAGCACCTGTTAATTTACCTAATAAACAGTTGCATTATATTTGTTTATGGAATGAGGATACAAATAGGACAACCCTTCTTAGCCAGGTGCTAGCTGAAGGTC